CCCTCAGTTCTCTTATGGGAGCCCAGAAATCACCCGTGGAAGCCTCGGAGCGTCCCAGGCATAATCGGCGTCTATGCACCAGACCAGGGGTACGGCTCTTTTACGACTCATGGACTTCAACTCCCAGAATTCCTGAGTCAGCTACGCTGACTCAGGAATTCTGGGAGTTGAAGTCCATGAGTCATAAAAGAGCCGAGGTTGCCTACCCCTGCACCAGACACAGGAGACCGGAAAGGGAGAACATAGTATAGTAAACCCTCGGTGACTTTATACTGGATACTTTGGTGTGATTTCGTATTTATATGGAAAGCAATAGCAAAGCTCCATGTTTCCCTCACGGATGTTGTTGCTGCTGCTTTATTTAATACAGGGGGAAACAGGAAAAAAGCAATACCATAACAAAAAATATTTATATAACACATGCCGGTGAAATACGGGCACTAACCTCACAATCGATACAAAAGCTACGTGTGGTGCAAAGAACCATGGAAGGATACATGCTCAGCATTATATGACAGGATAAGTGTTTCTCAACCTTGACCATTTTAAGGCATGTGGACTTCAACTCCCAGAATTCCACAGCCAGCAATGCTGGCTGTGGAATTCTGGGAGTTGAAGTCCACATGCCTTAAAATGGTCAAGGTTGAGAAACACTGGGAAAGACCTGCACGTGGATCGTTAGAGAACAAACGAAAGTGTACAATATCATCAAGAGAGTAAAGAATTGAAATGGAAACGGGCTGGTCACACAGCGAGAAGAACTGAGGCAGGTGGACCAAGGCAGTCATAGAATGGATCCCACGATAAAAAGCGTCCACGAAAGAGATCTAAAACAAGATGGATCAACGACAGCAAGTATTGCAGGCCCAATTGCCAAAGACAGCTCACGATCGTATTGGTTGGAAACATGTGGAAGAGGCCTTCATTCTGCAGTGATAGACAATGGCTAAAATGATGATATTCTCTCTATATACTGAAATACACACACACAGAGAGAGAGAGAGAGAGAGAGAGAGAGAGAGAGAGAGAGAGAGAGACTATAGACAAATTTCTTGTGTGTCCAATCATATTTGGGTAATAAAACTATTCTATTCTGTTCTATTCTTTATACAATTCATTCAGAAAGTATTCAGACCCCCTTTGCTTTTGTCAGTTTTGTTATGCTGCAGCCTGATTCTACAGTTGTTGAAATTCATTTTTTTCCTCATTAATCTACGCTCAATACCCCATCATGACAAAGTGAAAACAGAATTTTAGAAATGCCTGTAAATGTGTTAAAAAGAAAAAACTGAAATATCACATTGGCATAAGTATTCAGACCCTTTGCAACAACACTTGAAATTTAGCTCAGATGCTTTGATCATTGCTGACATGTTTATACACCTTGATTGGAGTCCACTTGTTGTAAACTAAATGGATTGGACATGATTTTGAAAGGAACACACCTCTCTATAGAAGGCCTCACAGCTGAAAATGCATACTGCAGTAAAGCAAAAGTCATGAGGTCAAAGGAACTGTCTTCAGAGCTCAGAGACAGGATTATTGCAAGGGTCAGACCTGGGGAAGGCTACTCTCTAACAGACCATTGTTTCTCAACCCCAGCAACTTTAAGTGTNGGGGGGGGGAAGGGAGGCGCTACCTGGAATCGGTGAGGCTTGTCGCATTTCCTCCCGGCAAGCCATGGATCTATTTGGGGAAACTCCGGCTGAAGGGGTTCCGGGTCTTACCCAGAAGCACCCCGTCAAGACTGCAGGCGCTTTCCCTGGGCTCACGGCTGCTGCACTCACCCCAGCCGCCCGTCCCCCGCCCCCCCCCCACCCGACAGCAGGCCGGGGGTGGGGGGCAGCTCCGCTTCGTCTTACCTGGCGATGGTCGGCGGCAATCAGGCAGCGACGGCGACATCCGCGGGACGAAGCCGCCTCCATCCGCGTCTCTTCCCCAGGACTTGGGGAGCCGTTCAGTGCGCGGTCCAGAGGGGGCAGGGCCCAACTAGTGAAGGATGCTCAGCGCCGGGAGATGTTTGTCGGGAAGGTGGGAGGGAGGCTCTGGGCGTGCGCGCGTGTGAGGACGGCGCCTTTCTCGCTTGGCTTCTTTCAGACCCATCAAGCCGCGTCCGCCGGCCTCCCGTCCGGCGACCAATCCCAACCCCGTCTTTGCACTCCCCTCAGTTCTCTTATGGGAGCCCAGAAGTCACCCCTGGAAGCCTCGGAGCGTCCCAGGGATAATCGGCGCCTATGCACCAGAGCCAGGGGTAGGCAACCTCGGCTCTTTTATGACTCATGGACTTCAACTCCCAGAATTCCTGAGTCAGCTACGCTGACTCAGGAATTCTGGGAGTTGAAGTCCATGAGTCATAAAAGAGCCGAGGTTGCCTACCCCTGCACCAGACACAGGAGAGCGGAAAGGGAGAACGTAGTATAGTAAACCCTCGGTGACTTTATACTGGATACTTTGGTGTGATTTCGTATTTATATGGAAAGCAATAGCAAAGCTCCATGTTTCCCTCACGGATGTTGTTGCTGCTGCTTTATTTAATACAGGGGGAAACAGGAAAAAAGCAATACCATAACAAAAAATATTTATATAACACATGCCGGTGAAATACGGGCACTAACCTCACAATCGATACAAAAGCTACGTGTGGTTGTGCAAAGAACCGTGGAAGGATGCATGCTCAGCATTATAAGCCAGGGATAGAAAGACCTGCACGTGGATCATTAGAGAACAAACGAAAGTGTACAATATCATCAAGAGAGTAAAGAATTGAAATGGAAACGGGCTGGTCACACAGCGAGAAGAACTGAGGCAGGTGGACCAAGGCAGTCACAGAATGGATCCCACGATAAAAAGCGTCCACGAAAGAGATCTAAAACAAGATGGATCAATGACAGCAAGTATTGCAGGCCCAATTGCCAAAGACAGCTCACGATCGTATTGGTTGGAAACATGTGGAAGAGGCCTTCATTCTGCAGTGATAGACAATGGCTAAAATGATGATATTCTCTATATATGGAAATACACACACGCACACACACAGACTATAGACAAATTTCTTGTGTGTCCAATCATACTTAGGCAATAAAGCTATTCTGTTCTGTTCTATTCTATTGTTCTGTTCTTTATACAATTCATTCAGAAAGTATTCAGACCCCCTTTGCTTTTGTCAGTTTTGTTATGCTGCAGCCTGATTCTACAGTTGTTGAAATTCATTTTTTTCCTCATTAATCTACGCTCAATACCCCATCATGACGAAGTGAAAACAGAATTTTAGAACTGTCTGTCAATGTATTAAAAAGAAAAAACTGAAATATTACATTGGCACAAGTATTCAGACCTTTTGCAACAACACTTGAAATTTAGCTCAGATGCCTTGATCATTGCTGACATGTTTGTACACCTTGATTGGAGTCCACTTGTTGTAAACTAAATTCTAACCTGTACTAAAACTTTCCTTGTGTGGAGAGATATCTTCCGGAGTGTCGACTTTTACGTATGACGTCATTTCGTTTTCAGTACTCCAGTTTCCTTGACAGAAGTCTCGAGTCTCTGTCCTAATAACGTTCCCAGTCTGGACCCCTTCCGATGAGAGATTGTCTGGTAACAAAGAGTTGGGGTCGTTGAAATTCACAGTGGACTTCAACTCCCAGAATTCCTCAGCTAGCAGGAGAATAAAAAATAAAAGGACTGCAGCGTTCTTTATCATGTGTCTTGAGCATTTTTTCACAATGTAAAGGAAAGGCTGCTGAGAAATCGCTTTGCAGGAAAGACTCTCACAATAGAAACCATGCACCAACCAACTTTATATTTAAGCAACCTCATGATTTCCAATTGTTTACTTTATTATTTAACATATGGCATATCATACACGGACTAGCAATATATATTAACATTTCATCTAGATTAGTAGAACACAATAAAATATAAATGCTAAAACGATCTATATTCAAATACCGATGTCAAGGCCATATAACTATTGAAGCGCAGCATCGTTTATATTAAAAAAAAATCAGATATCGGACCGCTGTATGCCCTCACCTGTGATCTATAGTTTGATGTAGGACCCCATAGTCATACTGAGGGGAGGATACCATGCCCCATTTATACAGAGTCCCAGCAGATGCCATATGAAGTGCAAATCCTATTTAGGATTGCCCATTGCTGACATGGTAGTTCAAAGTTCAAATGACCACCTTTTTTGTGGTCATTTATATGTCTTCCTATGTCTGAGCGTTCAGCGACCTATTTGGCTTTCCACTGGCAATAGCAGTTAAAATTGTCGGGCAGATGTTGTGCAAGTGCCAGTGGGGACTTCCTGGATTTGAGTCTTCTGACTGATAAGTGCATGCACCTGTAGGAGTGAGCTGTTCGTAATTTTTCTGTATATCCTCACTAGTGCATCTTTCTGTTGTAAAACCGGTGGTGCTATATCGCTCAGAATAGGAAGCCAGCAAGTCGGAGTGGTTTTAATATGGAGTGGTTTACTATATTATTACTATATTATTATATTTGACAGCACGGTATCAGCAGTAGCGTCCTTCGAGTTTTGGGGTTCTATAAACTCCCAGGACTTGAAATGGACGCTTGACATTAGAACCATCATTAAAAAGGCACAACGAAGAATGTTCTTCCTGCATCAAGTCAGGAAATTCAGACTGCCCCAGGAGCTGCTAACACAGTTTTACAGAGGAATTATTGAGCCTGTTATTGGTACTTCTATAACTGTCTGGTTTCATACAGCAACCAAACAGGACAGGTACAGATTCCAATATATAGCTAAGACTGCAAAAAGAATTGCAACCAGTCTACCTTCCACAGAAGACCTGTATACTGTGTGGGTCAGGAGGAGGCCTGAAACAATATCTACAGACCCTTCCTGGACATAAACTGTTTCTTGGGATGGCACTTTAGGGCATTGCATGCCAAGACAACTAGACACAGGGAGTTTTTTTCCCTTGTGCTGTCACTCTGCTGAACACCTAATTCTCACAGTTCTGTCTAATGTGTATGTATATTAACTCATATGGTATGACTGTACTATTATTTATCCTTTTTATTATGTTTAGATCTCCCTTTTACTTGTTATTACTATTGTTGTTATTCTCTCTATTGCTTTGCAAGTATACTAAATGCTTCTGTACTTCCTTGTGTGTCTAATCATATTTGGCCAAATAAAGTACTCAATTCAATTGTAATATGCATTCCTTTCATATCCATCTAGTGGTTAGGCTAAGAAATAAAGTACTAAGCTTCTGTATAGCAGGACATCGTATATTAGCAGCAGCAGTTGGCTAATTAGAGAGCTGGAAATGTTAAAAACACAGTTAACACTGGAGCCATAAATTCTATTAATCAAAACCTTGGCTTGAAAACAGAAATACAAGTAGAAGAGGCCTGTTCTTTTGCAACACAGCCCTTGCTCAGATTAGCTCTCTCTCCTTCAGTGTCCCTACCACCTTTCTGCCATGAAAAAAATACTGTTGTCTCTTCTTTTGGCCCCAGTTCCTACCACCTCCTGGAAGAAGTATGTCATGCAGAAGGTGCTTCTTTGGCTTTTGATTTTCCTCCAGTTAGAAAGCTCGGGGAACAAATAAGGAGCAGTAGAACCATGAAAAGTTAGGGGCTGAGCACTCAAAGAAAAGGCCACTGAAGAACAGGTTTGGGTGGTGTTCACTAACAGCAACCCTTGATTCTTGGGAAGAACTAGGAATTAGAGGATATTCCAGCAATGGATTAATGGTCCTGAAATTATAGTCTTATCTTTTTCTTCCTGAATTTATAATCTCCCCATTTCAGCTACCAGAACAGAGCGTCATTAAAGTGGACTCACAAGAATGCTTTATTAAAAACAAATTACGATGTGTTTAGTAAACTATTCTATTCTTTTGAATAATATACACAACATAAAATAATTTCTTCCCACACATGCACAAATTAACTAAAATGTCTTCTGCATTGCATGGGATCTTAATAGTTTAAATGGAATGTTCTATCTTTGCTAAGCAAGGATTCCCCAAACAAGTAAAATGAACTGCTTAGTTTACACGATTGTGAATCAAAATTAACATTAAAACTGGTTTAAAATTTTGAAGAACATAAAAATCGGAGAAGTGAAATGTTTTTTTCTTACAGTATCACATCTAAATTGCAAAACAATCCCCAGTGATCACTAGGAAATCTGCCACAATCTAGTTTTTCCAGACCAATCAAATCCAAACTCTGAGGAATAATCTGTCCACCAGCTGTTGCACCTCGGAAAAACAGACGATCAAACCGACTTTTGCACTTGTACCTTGCATTCAAATTATTGTTTTGGCTTGTATCCCATGTGTAGTGGCAATGTTCAGGCTTGCCCAAGAACTCCCAAATATCCAAAATATTGTTAGGTAAGCCACCCATTTTAGCAACCTGATAAAGATAAGAGCAGAAAGCGATAATAGAGCAGTAAACATAGTAATCATCATGCTGCTTTCAAGTCTGAATTACGTTCTCATTTGATATGTCAGAGGAATACAATATTATCTAACACCATAGAAAATTACAGAAAAGCAGAAAACATCTATCTTCTAAAGCAGTGGTTCTCAACCTTTTTAATGCTGCGACCCCCAACCGGTCATAATTCGAGGACTAAACCGGCTGTAAATCGAGGACTAAACGGTCGTAAGTCGAGGACTACCCAACCGGTCGTAAGTTGAGGACTTTCCCTGCCCGGGAGCACCGCGCATGCGTGGTTCCGCCCCCTGCGCCAGCCGAGGGGTAGCTGGCAAGCGGCAGAGACGGAGCAGGCCGACCACCAGCTGGCCCAGCTCAAGGGAAGTAAGGTACCCGCCGGAAAAGGGGGAAAAAATGGCGGACAGCCTTGCTTGGCGACCCCCGTGAAATGGTCGATCGACCCCAAATGGGGTTGCGACCCATAGGTTGAGAACCGCTGTTCTAAAGTAATTCACATTCTTTCTTCTCTAAAATCAGTGGCCCTATCCAAGTGATTTTTATAGAGTTGGAGATCAGTATTTCTTCCTGGTCATTGTGCATCAATTTGAAGACAAAAATCCTGCCTTTGATTAAGTATGGGCTGGTTCTTATAGAAAAATAATCCAGATATTACATTAAGGAAAAGTATGCCAATGCTTTTAGCTATCAAAGAATGAGTGATCCGGCCACCTTACTAGAGAACTAACAGTGATCAAGCAGACTGAGAGCGTGAGAAAAGGAAGTCACATCCCCTTAGTAACAGTAATTTTGGGATACACAACTGGGAACATAGAGATATGTAACAATCAACATTTAGATCTGTAACCACCACCAATATCCTGCTCAGTAAAGAATATCATGAATAATTCATTGAGGGGGAAAACACATGTAATATATGGGGAAAATACCTTGTCTATACAGGTAGTCCTTGACTTATGGCCATTCATTCAATAACTGTTCAAAGTTTTAGCAGTGCTGAATGAAGGGATTTATGACTTATACTCAAAGCTACTGCCACTGAAGTACCCTTGCGGTCACATGATCAAAATTCAGGTGCTTGACAGTCCACCTACTCTTACAAATGCAGAGGTACTTCAACTCCCCCTACCCATCTCCCGCTTCTTTGTGCCTTTTTGGTGCCCTGCATTCCACAGCCACTGCCACCCTAGCTGATCTTTGCCATCTTCCTGCTCCTGCTGCTGATCAAGCATGCCCGGCCTGACCCTTCGTGAGGCAGCTAATGGCTGCGCAAGGCTTTCTTCCTAAAGTCGTGCACTGTGGTTTCTTCACAAAACCTGGGGAAGATGGCCTTACATGGCCAGAGCAGGTATGACGCGTCGGCAGTAGGAGCAAAAATATGGTGCAGGTCAGCTGGGGTGGCAGAGAAGGGGCTGGGTTGTTGGGTTGGGATGAGGGCAGCAGGCTGGGGCTGCAAGGGCTTTTTGCTGCACTGCTGTGGCTTCCTTAGGCAGATGCAGCTTCAGGCGGCATTACTAGGCTGCAGCTTCACACCATGCTGCTGGGGCTTCCTGGGATAGCCGAGGCTCTTGGGACAGCTGGGATTTGAGTCATGCTGCTGGGCTTTAGTTTTGCCCCACACTGCTGATGCTTCCCGGAGTGGCTGGTGTTTCCCAGGATGGCTGGAGCTTTGTGCTACACCGCACTACTGGGACTTTCCACTGTTTTGCCCCTTAGGAGTTTCTTGCAGCCCCAGAGTGATGTGGTTCTGGGACTGCTGTTGTACAGGGCAGCCAAAAGGGCAAAGATGGGGAGGGAGATGAACAGATGGGTAGTAGTGAAGAGGAGGCAGTCCCTTACTGCCCCTTGAACAGAGGCTCAAGACCGGGAGGGACATAGCCTGGAATGGTTGGATTGGAGAGGGCCCTCAACTAACAACTGGTGGAATTTGGTTAACAATGTCAACAGGGATTGCCATTGCTAAGCAATGAGATCATGTGACACTGCTTAGCCACATTGCTTAGTGATGGAAATTATGGTCCCAACTGGTATCTTAATTTAAGGACTACCCGTAGGTACTGGGAAAGAAAATGCAAAGAAGGATCTGAGAGAAAAGAAAAAAACATTTGTCCTAGCTTACCTCTTTGTCTCTTAAGTTTGTATCACCTCCAAAAATCACAGAACTTGACTTGGGTACCTCCGCCATTTTGGCAAGCACCAGTTTCAACTGTTTTAAACGTTCCTCACTGTGATCCTTAGTACTCTCCAAGTGGGAAGTCATAAGGCACAGGTCATTGCCAGAAATGTTTACCTGATTTTTTAAAAAAGATGCATAGAATGAAAAAAAATAATTTACATTACTCAGTTCTCCCATTCCACCTTTTATTTTTAATCATCATAAAAATGAAGCCTTTTAAAGCTTGTAAATCCACCTACCCTTAATTAAATAGAAAATCAATAAGAAGGCAAGCTGTATTTATTTCAGGTTATCAGTGATCTCCCACAATAATAAATTAATTTGTTGCCAACCACTCTCCCCCTAAATAACACACTCAGACCAAATTCTATCAGGACTCCCATTTTTCCCAGACAAGCCACCTGCAGAAGCTGCTCTGGATTGGGACTCTCCTTCAACAGCTTTTCCCCCAGAAACAGCTCAACCCATATTTGAATGCTATTCCTTCTGAGAATGCTTGCCAACAACTGAGGAAGTAGCTTTTCCTCTTTCCTTGCGTTGCCTACCATATTGCCCACTCAGACATCCTTGTAAGTCAGACATGTCAAACTCGCGACGTCACATGACGTCGCGCAACCTATCGGAGCTTTTTCGCCATTGCCGGCAATGGGGTGGGCGCGGCTCCGGTATGATGAAACCGGCCCGCAGGCCGGCAGTTTGACACCCCTGTTGTAAGTAAACAAGACGTCTGTCTGTCCCAAATGCAACCCCCAATGAGGCAGTACTGATCCAAAGGGCAGATACTTCCCAATTGCTTTTTTCCTTTAGGCAGGGAATATCATGCCCAGAGGTCCATCCGTCCAGTGGTCCCTCTAGGTCAGGGGTAGGCAATCTTGGCTCTTTTATGACTCGTGGACTTCAACTCCCAGAATTCCTGAGCCAGCTTGGCTGGCTCAGGAATTCTGGGAGTTGAAGTCCACGAGTCATAAAAGAGCCAAGGTTGCCTACCCCTGCTCTAGGTCCTTCCACTTCCCAGCCCCACTGGGACTCACTAGCATAGATATATTTGGTGTTCCCAACTGCTTCCCAATTCTGTTTAGCTTTTCAGAGGGGCTTCACTTTCTTACATAGAATTGGAATATGAAAGTAGGCAAGAGTGCCTTGATTTTAGGGGATCACCTTGGGAAACACTTGGAATTAGGCTGTGGCAGATGAGTGGCAAAGATAAATCCCTCTGCCTAGGTTCCTCTGACCTGTAACCATGCTCAGGTGTAACAGTAATGAGCACAACCCTCTCAAATTTTCTTGTGATCTCCTAGGAGGTCACAGCTCATGTTTTAGAGCCCCGGAATTGGTTGATTAATATACTAAAGGTGACCCAAGTTAGCACATCCATAGTGACATTTTAATCCACAGTCCATCGCTTTTTCAAAGTATGCAGAATAGTAATGACATACTTTTTTTTACACTATTTTCAAGTATAAGAGAAAATGAAAAAACACAAGTATAGTTGATCGCTTCACATATAGTGCTAAACCTAATATTGCAATAAGTGAAAATTTAGCTTTTCAATCCATTTGTAACATTACAGAAAAGTTCTCATATATTTTGATTTTGTCCAAATGTATTTATGTTCTATAATACAAAGAGCTAATATACAAAGCTAACTTGTAAAAATAAAATAACAGTTCAAAGTTTATAGTGAGAATACCCATTTCCTTCCATACTAATGTCCCATTAACTTGCTTTTAAAAAGTCTTGACTATAGGTTATAGGAAAAGCTGTTATTTCATGTTTTAAACAATTTTCTCCACAAAGCTGATGTAAAACTCACTTACATATACTGCTAATAAATTTCTCATCATAGAGGTTGTAGGAAAAGCTGTTATTTCATGTTTTAAAACTTTTACTCTTGATTTTTTTAGCATGATGGCGGTAAAATAACCATCCGTATTGCCTGGAGAGACAGATGGTCAAACATACACAAAAAAAGAAATGTCAACATCATGGTATTTCACTCAGAATTTCCACACAATAGAAGACATTAGCCTTGAGTCTGGGGGAATTTCAGACATGTATGCACTTATTTTTATTTCTCATTTTAAATTAACCCCATTGAACAAAGTTTCACCTTTTTTTTTGGACCAAGATTACACTTGGACTTTGCATGAGAAGCTGAAACCTGCAATCCCAAAGCTGTGCATGTAAAAGGAAGTAAATTGGGTTTAATTTATATTATTTAAGCACAGTTAATCCAATTATTTCCCATGCATTTAATAATTTCCAGTTTTAGTTATACACTGAACTGGTACACAACTTTTGGAGTATTCTGGAAAGTTCCCCAAAGGTTTAATTTAAGGGATTATATATGTCAAGGTTAACAACATGTTTTTCAGTCTTGGTTATAACGAAGTGTAATTAGGTAAAAACAAGAACTTCTGAAGTTCACACAGCCACACCAGATACATGAGGCTGAAATTCACTAACTCACATTTATGTATTCCAACCATAGTTTACCTCTTCCTAGGACTCTGGTATAATCAACTTTCTGCAGCTCTATATAGTGGCATTATACGGTATCATAAAAATACCATTGTATTTGCAGTTGTTGCATTAAGCTGGGACTACTATAACTTCATGCATTAAGTTGATAACTTCATTTACCTGGAATAATTGTGTAACTGACTGCTCTCTTCTGGAGGTAACTTAAATATACAGGAATAACCTCTTGTAAAAACACCACATCTGGGCTGTATCTAAATTAAAAAGAGAGATTTATAATGAGACATATTGTAACTGTAGGAAGAAAAGCAAACAAAGTTATGGTACTGGTACTAGCAACTGAATGGAGAATACTTCACAATTTTCCAAACTTAATTTCTTCTAGCCCTTTTTAAAATAACCAGTGCACCAATTCACACTTTCCAGGTTTTATTTAGGGTACTAAAAGTTCTGGGTTGCTTGAGATGTGATGTGAAAACCTTGTGATGATTCTCACACAACAGTTATTTCTGAATGTTACTTACGTATCAATAATGATATTCAAGCATATGATAAAACTATATAATGTAAGCAAACCTCTGTCTCACAGAATTCTGCACTCCTGCAATGCAGCTATGAGACTAGACATTTTTAATTCATTAATCATGGACTAGTTTTATATATACATCTTAAACCATTTTAATTTTTCTTACATGAATCCAGTTTAAAACTCATGCTTTGAAATTAGCTTATTTCAATACAATATTGCAATCTGATCTTACCCTCAGATTTCCACCAGCTATTCAGATGCTTACAGATACATGCAATTATACAGTTAATAAAGTTAAGATGGCAATTTTGATAAACTAATATTAAACTATGTGAGCATGTCTGTGGGCATTTGATAACACTTCTAACCATGTCTGTCTGTGTATACTGTGTGTGTGTATATAGGATTGCATAAGATGCATTCGATCAGTTTAAAGTAACTTGCTAACTACAACTGCATCTACTCAGAAGAAGCACTGCAATTCTTTAATAATCTTCTCTATGTATTACTGCAGTGTATTATAGATGACATGCTTTAAAGATTTCAGATTTTTTTTAACCTTAAATAGCATAAATGACTGAGTGCTAGCTATTAGAAATAATGGGAACCATCTGAGGGCTGCCTTTGGCAAAAAAATTGTAATAGTAATTTTGATTTAGGTCCTTTTAATTTGCTTGTCCAAAACATGCTTTAATAAGCATTTTAGAATTTCTAAGATTATAAATATGAGAATGTTAAATTGAGAATAATGACTGAATAAAACAGAGAAGAAACACAAATCTAAGACTGTTTCAGAAGCACAGTAACTTACTCTCCAATTCATGCAAATTAAAAATAATTATTTCTACCATATTCTAGATGAGTAGTTATATTTTACTGATACAAAAGAAATAAAGAACTTTGCCATCAGGCAAAGTAACACATTTTTGCCGCAAAGCCTTAGAGAACCTAAAACTTTTTGTTACTTAGAGACTTAAATGCATAAATATTTTAGCATTGTATTACAAAAATATTCAACTCTTATTAAAAAGTAGCTAGTACAAAACAAATACATAATGTAGTCCAGAGCATGCTTGTTCTATAATTAATCTCATTCAATCATTGGGGCTTATTTCTACTAGATGCCCATAGGATTACTATGATAGATACTTACAAAGCTAGATAGGAACAGACTCCCCGTGCCCTTTCTTGCAGATTATTTGAATCCAGGCCATCAATATTCCAAGTAATTAAAGAAAAAGTGCTGTCATCTTGTGGGTAGTTGCCTGCAGCTTTCACTGCAGCAGCTACAGTATTGGTAGTTGAATGATCAGTTAGCTCAACACTGGAATGCACACACACACAGATTAAAACATATTACGTAAAGCAATTTTCTCCAGAACATTTACTTATCCACAGACTTTAAAAACTAATTTTAGAAAATTGCCATCTGCAGTAGGTCCAGTTTACTACATAGCATGCTGTGGTTGTCACAGAAACATTTAGAATTTTTCACATCAGAGATCAGCCTTGAAGCTATGTGGGGATCAATTTCCCTATGGTGCCCTAAGGTTTTAGCTTGTCATGTAAAACTTATCCAGTGTGATTTGTTAGCCATGATTTATTGGTTTCACACTATCTGAACCAGATAAATTACAGGTAGTTCTCAAAAATACCAAAATTTCTATTGCTAAGCAAGACAGTTGTTAAGTGAGTTTTGCCCCATTTTATGACCTTTCTTGTCACAGTTGTTAAGTGCAGTTGTTAAGTTAGTAACATGGTTGTTAAGTAAATCTGGCTTCCCCATTGACTTTGCTTGTCAGAAGGTTGCAAAAGATGATCACATGATCCTGGGACAATGCAGCCATCATAAATATGAGTCAGTTGCCAAGCGGTTGAATTTTGATCATGTGACCACAGGGATGCTGCAACCATCATAAGTGTGAAATTACCTGTTTTCAGTGAAAAAGTCACGACGACGTAGAAGTTCCAGTGATTTCAGCTCCTGATGGACATAAACAAATTGATAAACACTTTTTATTCCGTATCGTGTAATGTACATAGATCGATATTGAAAATTCGTTCGACTCTTTACAATTGACATCGAAAGTTAGTCACGATGGTAAAAGTAAAAGATGTTACCGAACCACAATTATTCAAAGGATAGTACCAACTGCACCACAACTATTTCTACTTAAAACATGGACAAGACAGGGACAAACTAGAGTCCCCCCCCCAAATATTTTAGACCAAGCATGTCCACCCACCCTGGACAGCTGATAATGCGGCCCCACAAGGTTATTAAAAATATAAAAAGAAAGGAAGTTTGTTATTTATACAGGTAGTCCTCGACTTACAACCACAATTGAGCCCCAAATTTTTGTTGCTAAGTGAAACAGTTGTTAAGTGAATTTTGTCACCTAACAACCAGTTGTAAATCGAGGACTATCTGTATACATTAACTAGTTATATATTTTATATGCGGCCCAAGACAACTCAGTGCAGCTCAGGCAAGTCAAAAGTTGGATGCCTGTGATTTAGACTATTCCTACAATCCCTTGGCAATGACTATGACATCTGGTCAACTGGCGGGGAAATTCAAAACATCTCAAGTATATCAGTTTGACTATAGTACTCCTATTTAAGATCTATAGGGATTCACTACAAATAGAGGGAAGTCAGAGCCCCGTTAAGACTTGGAACCAATGCTGACCTAAAAAGTTTGGTTGCTGTGAATCATATTGAACTAACTCCATGCAGTAGCATGCAATAATTGTTTTAGAAATCCATTATATTAGAACTTATGCACAAATAATTTATGCATAAATACCAAAATGATCAGGTAGGGTCCAAGTCAGCAGGCAGGGTTGTAGGTATGTCATTTTGCATGGGGAACTATGTTCTGCTCCACACAACACCAAGTTTCATTTCTCTGTCAACTTTCAATCTCATAACTATGAACAGTGGCTGTAAAAAAAAAAAATCCCTTAACGAATTTGAAAATGAGGAAAGAGTGAAAAGTCACTCTCTCTCTCTCTCTCATCCCAAATCACCTCACAAAGTTGTGGTAAGGAAAATAGGAAGAGGAAGGTATGTTGGAGATGTTAGTCACCTTGAGTGATTCGTAATAATAATAAAGGTGGGATACAAATAAAAAGGGATTAGCATGGCCACATAACTGAGGGAATGAAAGGTTTTCCCTCCTTTTCTCCACAAAGAGCCTTCGCATAACTTACGCAGCCCCTGTGGCGGGAACTGGGTGAGGCATCCTGTTGACATCTTGCTCGGGAGACGGGTCAAAGAACGAATTCAGCGCCTTCTACGAAAGAAAAGTCAAAACCTAGTACAAGCAGTCCTCAACTTACGACCACAACTGAGCCCCAAATTTCTATTGTTCAGTGAGACATTTTGCCCCATTTTACGCCTTTGCTTGCCACAGCTGGTAACTGAATCACTGCAGTTAAGTCAGTAGCCTGTTTGTTAAGCGAATGTGGCTTCCCCATTGACTTTGCTTGTCAAAAGGTCACAAAAGATGGTCCCGGGGCCCCGGGACCCTGCAACCGCAGATTACCTCCCATCGACCTGTACGCTCCCATAGAGTGGGTCTCCTCAGGGTGCCGTCGGCCAGACAGTGCCGGCTGGCGACCCCAAGGGGGAGGGCCTTCTCTGTGGGAGCTCCCACCCTCTGGAATGAACTGCCCCCAGAGATCAGGGTTATCCCTGATCTCCCTTCCTTCCGCCGCGCCCTCAAGACTTGGT